GGGTTGTTCAATAAACAGCGCAACGCAAGTCATCCCAATTAATTGGATTGTTCCATTTATGCTGCTACTGCCTCCAATTAAATGCAAGGGAGCACAAGTGACAGGCACGAGTAAGACGGGTGTGCAGAAAACCATATTCTAATGCAAAAGCCGTGATGAGAAAATGGAATCTGTGCACCTGACGGGAATATTAATGCAAAACCTTGACCTATAATTTTCCTTCCTTCAGTCTGAGCGCGCCAGCAACAATTGCAGCTCATTAAAATGGATCATGTCCTGACAGTCGTGCATAATGTCCACGTCCCACAAGTCCAACGGTCTAAACATTTACCTTGCTGGCTTCACCAGCAAGGCAAACATTTAGACCATGGGACCTGTGGGATGTGGACGTTGTCACGGAGCTGCACGGTCCTGCACGACTGGAAACAGGAGACTGCAGCAAAGCCCCAAGACCTTTCCTCTCTCATAAACACGGTGTTATCAGAGAAAGAGGGATGGGAAAAAAAAACAAACTCAAAAGTGCCAGGAGGGGTTGGACCTCTGGAGTTCATCTGGCCCATCCCCCTGTTCAAAGCAGGGCCAAACTTAAAAGTTAAATTCAGTTTGAAAGTTAGTTCAGGTGGCTCAGTATTGAGCATTTCCAAGGACAGAGATTTTACAGCCTCTCTGGGCAGCCTTTCTCAGTGCTGCCTTGTCAGGGCTCAATCTGGAAGCTGTTCACCACATCACAACAACATCTGGCTCTACTTTCTTAACTGCTTTTCTGATGCAAAGTGTGTGTAGGCACGTGGGATGCAGTAAGTATCAGTAGGGAAGGTGATAGCATCGTGCAAAGACAATTCTTTTGCAAGGAAAATAGATCAGAGAACAGTCCCACACAAGATGGGGTGAGAAGGAAAGCACTGCAGTATTTTATTCTGAGTTTGGTGCTGCTTTTCTATAAGGCTCTGCCAGAGCAGTTCTTGAAGATGGAGTAAGCAAAATGCTGTCCAGTCTGGGCTTGGTGTTTGGCACAGACTTGAGATGTCAGGGCTGTGGACAGCTGTGGTAGAGCAGCAGACACAATTGCATCTCTCTTTCTCCACTGAGCAGTGAGGTCTGTATCCCTCTCTGGAGGCATCTCTCCCTCCCTTTGCTCCTGACTGAGAGAGCCAAAGGCAACAAGCTTCCTAGCCCTGACACCTCTGATATGTGTGAAGATGGATGGGTTGAATGCAGGCCTAAAATATTTTACATTTTCACGGGAGTTTCACAGCCCTGGCATTATCAAATGATCTTTCAAAGTACTTGGAAGCAGGAGGAGAATAACTTGAGATGGATTCTGGCTTTTTTGTGTCTGTGTACTTGCAAACTGTCTCTGCCTACACATCTTGCAGGGCCTGTGCCTGTTTGGAGACGCACATGGAAAATGGGAGCTCGTGTGGATGCTCCGTCTGCTCCATTTCCCCCCTCAAGGTTGGAGGCTGTTCAAAGCAGGTCCCCATCCTGGGTGGTGAAGATCAGACTTGCCCTGTGTGCTGCACTCCACTGACCAGGCTAGTTAGGAACTCGAGGCTAGGAAACACAAGACGATTTTAAAATCTGAACAAAAGTAGGAGATTAGGGAAACCAGCTGGAAACCTCTATTTTGCTGATTTTGAAAGCAAAATGTGGGTCACAGATGTGCTTCCACAGACAGAAACTGGCTAGAGAAGAAAAAGACATCAGCAGTGCCCAGACTCTTTGATGATCAGAGGTAGATTTAGCTCCTAGGCACGGAGACAAGAAAGGAAGAGGAGACAAAATAGGAATAAAAACATAATCAAGATATTAGGAATGTGGAACGCAACCCACCCGTAAATTTGCCTCAGGGAACTACGAAAAAATGCAGTAACAAAAAAAGATGAAACCAACTGCTACATCTTACTCTCTTCCCTTCTCTTGCCACCCTTATGGTTTTACTGTTTGCAGTCCAAAGCACAGGAGGTCCATTACAGAACCTTCCCTCTTCCCCAGTCATGTTTTTTCTTTGCAGTAGTGCTGTTTTCTGCCATTCCTTTGCAGTAGATATAAAATCCTTGCTAAGGACAGGCAGACTTTGGAGCCTAAAATAAACCAAGCCTTGCAGGGAGGTGTTAAGGGAGTGTGTATTGGAGACTAGAAAGCAATGTGCTCCTGCCCATCTTTGATGGGAGAGCAGAGCTACAACTCACTTCTTGTTTAGCCTAATGCAAAATATTCAATTTATTTTCAGTGATATTGATGACAGACTGGTAAGAGCTGTGCTGCTGATCTTGCAGGCTGCTGATCAGCCTGTGACTTGGCCTCCCAGGGGCCTGACAGAAGGCCCATTGTCCCAGACATTTACAAACCTCAAGGTAAAGCACTGGAAGAGCAATTAAGAACAAGAGCAGCCCTGACTCAGAGAAGCCCAGGTGGTGGCTCCTCAGGCACAGACAGGCCATGGGGGAGGTTGGGAAAGCAGGGAGGGCATGTGGGGGGTGGGCTCTGGGGGAAGTGTCACTGCTGAAGGTCCCCCCTGTGCTGCCTCTGGGCTTTGGGGGACACGTGCTGAGCAGCCGTGGAGCACCACCTCCAATTCCTGCAGCAAACTTCCCTCCTGCCAGCAAACCCCCAGTCCCTGTGGCTTAGCACCAAGAGAAGCCCAAAATAAAAGCGGTGCCAGTCCAGCTCACTGCCTGTCAGTGTTTCTCAGACTTTGGGGAACTTCAGATTCAGTTCTTGCCTGGAATTTATTTTTCTTAGCCCTAATGAAAACACATTTTGTAGTTGTTAGTGTTTTAAATCCAGCATCAGTGTCAACAAAGATAAACCTTTTCTCAGGGTGGGGAAAAAAAATATAAAGCTGTCCAAAATCTTTCAGTTATGCAAACGAAAACAACCTCAAAGCATTGAAGGATTAAATGAAAAATATGCCTCTTTTCACTGGGAGTCCACTGGGTGTGAATAAGTGCCAACTGAGCTCTCACTTGCATCACCATCTAGCGTGATGGCACCAGGGCCAGAGGTGCAGCAGGATGTGTTCCTGTGCCCTGCTCTGGGAGAGCATCTCTGCTCCCAGGGACGGAACCACCAGAGGCTCCTCAACACCAGCAGGTCTGTAAATGACAAGGACTTTGCCATCTTCAGCCTCACTATCCAACCCAGCCCAGGGAAAACAAGTGTCCAGCCACAGCACACAGCCCCCCTGGCAAGGAGGATCGTGCAGCCTCCTCTGGATGAGAGTGATTTTGTCCAAGGCATAGAAACTCATTTTGCTGGGCTGCAACCCCACACTGAAATTGCTGTGAATACCACAGCACAGAGCCTCTTCAGCTCATATCTAGAAACTGCTCGTGGTTTCAGAGCTCTTGCTGATGAATTGCCCAGCAGCTGGTCACATTGGGAGGGCTCTGCTTATTATTTTCAACTGCTATCTTGCATGGAAGGAAAATCAAAATACTTTCCTCAAGGTAATTGGCTCTAAAACAATTGAAGAATTTTTCACAAGGTTGTAACGCAATTAGGACTGGCATTTTAGATAATTTATATCTCTAAAGGTATGTTTATGCCATCATACCCTTCTTTTGTGGAAAAAAAAGGGAAAAAAGAAAAGGCTGCCAGCAACAGAAGGCTGATTTTGCTGTTACAGGCAATGAAATGTAGATTAAACACGGGCATCCACCTCGTACTGATTAAAAGGCAGCGTAATGCTGGGATCATCTCTGAGGTGTGAGGATGGATGGGTTGGATGCTGTGTCACCAGCCACACATCTGCAGGTTTCCCATTCGTTTTTCCACCATTGCCAAGTGATGTGTCATCACTCTCCTTCTGCTGCAGCCCCGCTCCCAAACTGCCCTGCCAGCTGGGTGGGAGGAGCTGGGACAGGCTGGGAGCACCAGGCCCCCCCACAGAACACAACCAGCAGCCACACCACTGCTTGGGTTCATGTTTTGATAGATATCCAGGAAAACCCTGAGCAGAGTTGCCAAACAATCCAGACACACAACAGAACCTCCAGAAGTGCAGGAAACAGCTGGTGAACTTGTTGGTGTGGGATACTGAGCCAAAAGCTTGGACGTGGCATTGCCCTGACACCATTGGGAAGCCTCTATTTCCCTGACTACCAAAAGGTCTAAGGGTACAAGTGGATAAATGATTGCTCTGTGCTTGGCTGTTCCTTATGCTTATACTGAACCACCTTTTACTGCCCCAGACTCAGTGCAGGGCCAGGGGACATTCTGCCTGACTGCAACAACTGCTGCGACTGAAACCATGGGATGACAACCTGGCCTGGGTGGAGATGGACAGATCCAATGAATTATCATTACAGATGGACATGAACTGAAACTGGGGAGACAGTCAATGGATATGAACTGAAACTGGGGAGACAATCAATGGCTCTTCAGAGCCAGAGCAGCCACTGATGGGCAGATGTCCTGTCCTTATGACGGGGTGAACCAGAGCCACGGGTTCAGACAATTGCCATTAAAAAACACCTGGATGTGGTGCCTAATGGCAAAGATGCCTCTGATTGTATTACAGGAGTAACACAACACCACTGGAAAAGCAAAGAGGTCCCTCACCCTTGGCTGTAGCCCAGGTGATGTATCAGTACACTGAACGACCGTCAGAAAAGCAAACCCCAGTGCTGCACAAAGCAGGTGATCACACTCTTCTGTGCACAGTCAGATAGACAGGGCAGCCATCAGCCATGCCCGTGGGTTGGGCTGCCTCTATTCACTAGATCCATGTCTGCAGAAACCTACCTTGAGCTGTTGGGAGCAATATGGGAACCTGGCCTTGGGGTCATGGACCTGACCCCCAACTGGCCAGAAAGGGACACGAATGTCCTGCCTGATCCTTTCTGCCATGCAGCAACCTTTGACACAACACACACCCCAGTCTGTAGCAGAGACACATTCAGTTCCACTGCTACGAGGTCCCTAACATCAGTTAGAACTTTGGCAAGCCCAAATGCATCTCCTTAACATGAAAGACCATGGGCAGGGATACTCACTATTGAGCTGAGTCGTTAAGTTGATATTCCCGGGACCGGTTGAAGCATTCTTGGATCCCAGAGTCTGCCCAGAGTCTCATCATAGCTGACAGCAGCTCTGGAGAGAAGGGCTCTGTGTCCTCCATCCGACTTACGACATCGCAGACCATCTTGGCATCAGCCTGCAGGGCAAAGAAAGGAGAGGTCACAGGGATGCTCAAGGCAGAATTTGGAGCCAGAGACTTCAGAAGCAGTTCCCTAAACCATCACGAGTGAAGAGGCTGTGTTTCTGGGGATGGGGCTTCAGCATCCACGCTGTGTGATCCAGCAGAAAGGGCAAAGGAGGACGGAGCAAGGAAGTCACAAGGAAAAAGGTTGTTTGTGCAATTCACCTCATGTCAACAAATATTTCTGTTCAGCAGACAAAGCAGTCTGCAGTGCACATGTGTGGAGTTTCTTGGGAACAGAAAGAAATGGATATATGTACAAAGTTATTTAGAATTGTTGTCAAAGTGACGCACACCCTGCAAGGACTCTCGCTTTAACCACGTGTGGAACCTTGCTGAAGCAGGGCTTTGGTATCAGAGAGGATGGCAGAGAGACTCCAGGAACAATTTTTTCCAGATGCTGGTTTATTGCTTTTCCTGAATTCTTGTTCTTTGCTATGAGCCCCTGCTATGAGAGCTAATTCATGCTAATGCAGACCACCTTGGCTGGCTGGGGTGCTCTGTGACTCACAGGGGGAGGAATCTCCCACGGTTCAGGAGCACAACAGTGAGGGAAGGGCCAGCTGGCCATTTTCAGATGGAATCTTTTTTGGTGAGAAAAATGAGATTCACTGGAACAGCAACTTTTCCTGGAGGATAGTGCTCTGACACAACTTGGGTCCGGAAGATGTCTCAGATTTAGGATGGGAATGTCTAGACAGCCTTGGAATAGCTGAGTTCAGCCCACTGTGATAGTCTACAGTGGCTGATGCTTTACTTGTTTGAGAAGCAGGACAACCAAATTCATGACCCTCTCTGCTTGCTTTGCAAGAAGTGGATTTCCCACACCACCCACAGACTCAGAAACCCTTGGGGTGTTGGAGCATCTGCAGAGTTTTTCTTTCATTCCTTCAAAGATGTCTCATATTTCTACAAGCCGACACAAACCCAATTATTATTTCTATAACTAATTGGAAAAGAGGAGCTCTTATTCCTTATGTGTGTACAGCAAACGTGTGAAGACAACCTCTTTGTTTTATCAGCTTGTGTCTCATCAGCCAGATCGAGCCCATTCCTGGCCAAACACAGGTGGAAGCCTTCACCTTCCAGGGTGTTTGACCTGACCCAACAAAGGCAGATCAGAAGCCCAAGTCTGGCAGAGGGGAGTGCAGGCAGTGCCCGTGCTTTGCTGGGCACAGTTAGAAGAGGAGGAGTGCCCATGCTGAAGAGCACCCCAATAAACTAATGGCATGGGTGGATATGACAAGGTGTGTGATGGGGCCTGCACGGCCAGGATCAAAACTCCTCTTTATTGAAAAACTGCAGGGCACCAAACTGCTGGCACTGGAGAGTGAAGCTGCTGGAGATGTCAGTGCTCAGGGAAAGAGCCTCAAGTGTCCTGAACATCCAGCCTTTATGGGCTGAAGAAGTCTCAGTACTGTATGTATCAGCACTGTATCCCATAAAACTTAATGGGGTGGACTCTACTTTGAGGGCTTTATGAACATAAAGTCTCACAGAGTGCTTAACTTCGTATTTTAGTGCCCAGGAATCTTCCCAGCCCTCTGTACAGACTCTGCTCATTTCAGAGGAACAGTATTGGTGACTCACACCTCAAAGCCAAGACAAACCAAGAACCTTGAAGAGTTCAGTTAATTTCAAAAGCTTGTTTTCTGCCCCAGAGTGCTTCGTGAGCTCAGTGAATATTCATAAATCATCTGTATGGTTTGCCTGCCCTGCTGGAGCTGCAATTCTGCTCTTTTCACAGACTCTAAACGACACAAACCCCACTAATGGCTGTGTCTGACCTGGCCCCGTTATTTGTGCCTGGCTGGTGCAGGAAAAGCATCCAAGCTTTCAGTCAGGTAAAAGGAGGCCTTTCTATGTTATCCTGACCACTGAGGGGGTTATAGGTAGAAGTCACAGATCTGTCCATCTGTCTGTAATGGCAAAGCACATTTGAAGCTCTCCAGCTGTTATGGGCAGGGTCTGGGCTTCTTCTGAGCTTTGTGGATTTAACTACAGGCTGCTTTCTGCAAAGCATCAGAGGGAACAGCACAGTTGTCATGTTTTCTGTGCTGGGAAACAGCTGCCTCACCTTTTCAACTACTGAGGCTTGTGGCAGTTCCCTGTGAGCAAGACCCACCACAGGAGAGTCTGAGCAGAAGATACAGCTGAACAGTGAATGACAGGGCAGAATGGGAGCCACCAGGGACAGGCATCTCTGGCTGTGGCCCTCGGGTCTGCTTGGGCCAGAAGTGGGGCTGAGCATGTAGGGCAGGGGATTATTTTGGTACATGCTCCTCTGTGGTCACTGGAGGTCCCTTTTGGGGACAGGTGAGGCTGCCCTCCTGCAGCATGGACACCTGCCTGCGGGGCAGACTGAGAGTCAACAGACTGGAGCAGGGCTTGAAGGAAAGTTTATTGCTCCTGCTGAACGGCAATAAAAATATTCCAGACTTGGTTTTATTTTGCAGAGTGAACCATCGAACTCTTAGTTTTATAGACCCAGAAAAAGCAGGTGAAATGAGTGTTTTTAAAAATACTCCTCTCCCCTGCCAAGGATGAAGCCCCTCTGTCAAGAAGCATGGGGCCATCCAGGAGTTCAGGCATTTGTTAGATGATTTAACGAGCAATTACGGATCCAAGAAGAGAAGATATCCCTTTCTTTTCTCACTCTCCAGGCTGCATCTCAAGCTGGGAATGACATTAAAACCTCCAGCCCCCTCTGGGCCCAGCAGGTAGGTTTTTAAATACTGCCTGATTGACTTTTCCCTGTCCACCTCCCCCGGGTCTGGCGCTCCCGCTTTTCCCGAGGTGAGAGGAGCGGAGCCTCCCGCCAGGCTCTGCCTCTGTGCTGCAGCCAGCAATTAAATACAGCAAAACAAAACAGGCCCCGCAGCTCCCATCCGACAGGGTTCCGTTAATGAATATCACGGTGGTATTTCAGCTACCTCGGGAGCTAAAAATAGGCAGCCCTTGGCTCCTGGGATTGCTGGAAGAAGCTACAAAATGGAGCAGGGCTGCTCCCAGCTCTACTGCCTCTGCCTTTCCAGCTGCTCTGGCTCCCGTCTCCTCGGAACGAGCCGTCTGGGAGGAGGGTGAGAGGTCAGGCTGGTCTCCTTCGTGCTGGTTCTTATTCAGCAGGAGCATCCCAGCCTATCCCTGCAACATTCCCATGTGTCCTGCTGCCACTTCCCAAAGGCTTGCACTTTCCATGGCAGGTGAAACCCTGATCCCCGAGTGGATACCTTCAGGTTGTTGGTTACAGAGAGTGGGATTTATCACTTTGTGTCACTCCTGAACGCTGGATCCGTCCACCTGCAGAGGGAGGATTAGAGCTGGCTGGGCTTGGCCTGGGGAGGCAGCTGAGCCCAGAGACCCTGGGAAGGTGAAATACACCCCCAAACTTCAGCCACCAAGCCAAAAGACCAAATCAACCTTTGCTAAAGACCAAACCTCTGCACTGGCTGAGGAATGGAGAGGGCTCTGTAGTCCCAGGGCAGGGTCTGAAATGCACAGAGATGTGAACCAGAAGCTTGTGAACAAGCAGGGAGTCAGTGCCTCACTCCTGACCCCGGGCTGGGCACCTTCCTGTGCACCAGTCATGCTATAAATCCAGCTCATGGGGACCTGTTCTGTCCCTAACCTGGACATAGATGCAGTTATTTAATTGTCTCCCATATGTCACTGTCACCAGGCACGCAGCCTGTGCTCAGCAGGCAAACCTGTGACTTCTCTTGCCACGGCCACACAGCCCAGTCAATGTGTTACCTTGCTGGAAGGGAGAGGGGCCCCTCCTGTCAGCCTCCCACTGCTGGCAGCCGTGTTTGGCTCTGCAAGCAAGTTATTTTCCATCACACCAATACAGACCACCCTGGACTATTTGTTCCTCACCAGCAGCCACGACCAGTGCCCACGGAGGTACCAGCAGAGCCCTGCCCTGTCTGCTGTGGAGTTGAACTGGAGTGGGACCCAGGTCTCTATCTCTGACTATTCCAGGGTAAATCCTGGCTCTGCTCCTTTGAAGTTGCCCGGACACTCACTAGGGGACTTTTTTTTTTCCCTTTTTTAATTCAAAAAGGAATAGTTTTCTGGAAGGGGGGAAATTTAAGGGATAGTCAAAGCCTTGTGTGAAGCTGTGTGGTACAAACCTGCTAAACCCTACAGAGCTGCACTGAGTTACACCCACAGGAGAGCTGAGCCACTGTGTCACATTGTACTGTCCTTTCCTTCTGGTGAACTAAATCCCAGTAAATATCATTTTTTGCTGTTATTTACTCTGATTAATGATACTTGTCACTCAGCCTGTCTCAAAGGTTAGCTCTGGGGCAATTTCCTCTGGTGGCTGGTTGTACTCAGAGCTGCATCTCAGAACATTTCAGAAAATCCATGCAGTGTGGGAGAAGATAAGCATTGCAATTTGGCTGACAGTGCCAGACAAATCAACACGGTGCTAGTTATCAGCAAGCAATCTCGTGGGAAAAGTAGTGGCCATCATCAGTCAGGGACCTGGGGGAAATCAAACTGATGTCTTGAGAGCGTCCAGCATCCAAAGAGAATGTCCCTGGAAGGAAACCTTCATGGGGCACCCAGATCCTGACCTGGGAGCACAGCAGCACATGGCTCTGCTACCCCAGTGAGAAATGACATCCTATAATTTAGGGGCAGAACGTCTCCTAAACTGAAAACCTCCTCTCCTCCTCCTTACAGAGTGTCCCAGAAATCTGGACCCTGCTTCCCAGCCGAAGTGTGGCTGCATCACAGCAAAAGCCAGTGATTTTCACAACATTTGCAGCCCGAGTAAATCCTGGAAACGAAGCAGGATTGGTGAATGTGCCTCTTCCAGAGCCATCCAGGGCCCAGCTCCAAGTCCATAGGAGTTTTTGGAGATGCTGAATAGCTGCACGTACGACTCTCCCCCTCGCTCTCCCTCACACATCTGTGTTTCAGAGCTGACCTCTCAATCTGTGGAA